AAAAAAAATAAAATAAAAAAATAATAACAATAGAAAAGTTCGGAGACTTATTAAAATTGCAAAGAACTGGATCTAATTGTATATCAACATCCCTTGACGACCCTACTAACCAGCTACAATCGTCTACCGCTAACTCCGATTACTCTCTACCCATTAATACCACGCTCCATGAGTCACTTTCTTGGCTGGATCCAAATTATTCATTTCAGTTTGGCACCCTTCAACCTTTTGATAACAACCTTATATCTGAACCTTTCTCTACTCCATCTGAAAATTTAGATTGGTTTCCATATAGCGGTATTGCCAATACGTTCGATGATTAAAAACATTGTGCATTACTGAAATTTTTTCGTTCATTTTGTGAAAATCCCTTAATACAAACAATTTTATCCTTAAACAAGATATCTTTTTTTTTTTGTTTTTTTTTTTTTAGCATGAAACTGTGAGAAATAGGATATGGTACCCCGCAGTAAAAGAAGGCATTAAGACATTTTAATTTTGTGAAATTAAAAATATCCACTATTTTATATTATCAATAAGCAAATAATCTAATATTTTGAAGGTTTAAATTGGTATATAAAATTTCACATAAATTTGAAATGCCAAAATGCCTCCTTCCCATATACTGTTGTCACTGTCTAATTGCATGCCATCCGTTAGAAACTTTTTTATACATATAGACAGTAAATGCATTTAAGTTATAAGAACCATTTTTGCGTTAATAATTAAAATTTTTTATGCGTTTAGAAAGTAAATGCACTTAGACAGTATGCACTTGGAGAATAATGACTGTAAAAGATTAATCGTACCTTGAGTAATTTCTATTTTATCATTATTACTAAATTTCAAATATATCTTGTCACCTTCTCGAATAAAATTATAGTCAAGGGGCGGATCTAATCGACAAAAATTATAATTGTATGCATAGATGAAAGACTCAATGATTATTAATTACCAGGCCTACCGAATAATTGATTGTGGGGGCAATTAATTGCAATTTTTTGAACTCAATTAATTGATTGGCGGCGCAGCCACAATGAGTCAATTAATTGCAATTTTAGGTGTGATGAATCATTTGCGTGACAAATAAGAATTCACTAGTGCAATTAATTAGTAAACTGTATTTGTCATATACTATGATTCATCGCACCCAAGTGGCAAATGGCAATTAATTGCAATTAATTGCAATTATTCGAAATTTAATTGTTTTACGATTGTTGTTTATCACAATTGTAGCTAAATTTAATTGTAGTATAATTTAATTGCAATTAATTATTCGGCACCCCTGTTAATTACCGTAAAATCTCGAAATAGCGGGCATGGGCATTATTTCGAAAATCGCGCCCCCTAAAAATAGCATATGTGGATTCAAAATAACGCCCATGCGCGTCCCAAAACAACGCGCATCCCGCTATTATGTATTTTGAAAAAAAAACAGGCTCAAAAATAGGGATGTTAAAGAGTCCATTCAGTCCAACCCAGCCCAAGTTCTTAAAGAGTCAAGATCTAACTTAGGCCGCTTGCAGTTAAAGTTTCGTTTAACGTTATTTTTTTTTCGTATTCACGGGGGGAGGGGGGGGGGAAAATTAAACAAACATAAAAAATAAACATATAATATACCGAAAAATCCCGAATATAATCGAAAAATTCCGATCGTTGTGCCGACCATTACACTGACTAATTTGTCACCTCTATTTGTTTAATTTTAGGGGGGGAGCTCAGGGGATGGAGGGGGGATAACGTTAAACGAAAGTTTAACTTCAAGCGGCCTTAGTAGTTTAACATGCAATATAGATGATGATTCACTTTTAATAAATTTTATCTAGATTAATTTTGGACTGGCCCTAAACGTTCGGTCCCAGACCCAGTTCAAACTAGTCCTTTGTGGGCTATTTACATCCCTATTCAGAAAATCAGCCTATATATTCGAAATAACGCCCATGGGCGTACTCGAAATAGCGCGCAGGTAGTCAAAATAACGCGCAGATGCCCACTATTTCGAGATTTTACGGTAGTAACTCTAGGGCACAAAAACGGTATATTTCTTACCTTCAGTAGTCATTTTGCAATTATTGCATTGAGGAATCTTCTCTTTTTTGTCTTTATTCTTTTTATAACACTCTATGCATTGAATCAAACACACTGTTTTTCTCTTTCGACATCTCTCACACCTGAACTTTCCTGGTATTCCATTATGTACGCATGCTTTTTTTTGCTCATAGCAATAAGCACATCTGTCTGATAATGCTGGCCTGATTTCTTCTAATGGATGAAGACCAAATACAATATCGTTTTCGAAAATAGTTTCTTTGCTTAATCCTGATACCTGAGCATCAATTTATTTTGTAAACAAAAAAAAATAAAAATAAAAAATTACAAAGTATCAAATCATTAAACTTAATTATCGAACCTGTTGACTAAAATCTCCTTCGCTTTGAAAATCTGTAATAAATTCAAAAGTGTTTCGCCTTGGTTTTGGCCCACGTTTTTTTGACGGAGAATAAATGCATTCTAAATTTTTATATGAACATCTTTTACATTGTTCATATGAAGAATTGGTTTCACATTTTCTCTTTGACTTCATGCATTCATTGCAAGCAATTTTTGCATAATTATTTCTCGACGGCTTTTGTTGATACATGTTGAATTTAAATAATATATTGACTTTATATTGATTGTAAATAGCTTTGCTAAAATGCACTATAGGTGTAAACACCAGGGTTATTATATTTTAAAAAACTGATTAATAATTAGTAGCTGGTACTCTAAATAAAAATATCAACGCCTCAAGAATCCCTTATCTAACTTAGTCTTGGTCGCTAACGTTTCAATTTTAATTCAAAGAATATACAAAGAATTATACGGCGTTGAACACTATAGACGCATTTTATAATAATTAATGCCAATCATTCCAAGTAAGTGCATATATTTTTTTTCTTGCGAAAAAAATTGTCGCAAAATGTATGACTTGTGCACCTTGCGACGATAATAGTCGGCTTGTACTTTATTGCGACAATAATTGGCGGTAATTTTTCTAAATATATCATTTATTTATGAATATCCGAAACGTTCGATCGGAACAACAGATTCTGGTCGGAAAGTTATACAAGCTTTTACGCTTGGATAGAATTAAAAACAAAAATCAATTAATAATTTAATATGAATATTTGTTTTAGAAATTTTTTTACAATGAATGATTAACAGAGAATATTTTTATATTAATCGTATGTTTAGTACTTGTAAATTTTTCGAAAATCCATAATAATCTTCCTATTTTAACGCTTAAAGAATTTATAAATCATAAACCATTTTTGACTACTTTTGTTCTTCGTTTAGTGTCTTTGAACAATGTCATCAGCATAATAATCATCGTTTAAAAAATTTTCTATCATAAATTATCTTAACTATTTTTGTTCTTTGTTTATTGTCATAGAACGATGTCGTCAGTTTTTAATAAGTGTCTTTTTTGCGTTAAAAGTAAAAAAAGGTGTGATTATTATGGAATGCCGGGAGAGTTCCGATGTGAAAGATGTGTAAAGAAGGAAGAATGCCGGTTCTTATGTGAAGTTTGTTGTGAAAGTATTAAGGATAGAAATTTATCAGACTCATGCCCGAATTGTAAAGTGGCTACAAAAGGTACAGAATTTCTCCTATTTAAAATATATCCTATACCTAGTTTATAATAACCCAATAAGTATCCGCCTTTCTTATGTATAATCACCATTCCTTATTTACAAGAACCACCTGAGAAGTGTGATTTTATTATGGATGTGGCTTATCAAAAACTTTACCTTAGCATTGAACGGTCAAAGTGCAATCATAAAATTGAAATTACTCCTAGTAAGAATCGCCTCGAAATTTCTAGATTCTATTGTTTTCAATTTTTTGATTCTGACATTATACCAGATTTTTTAGATGAAGTGAAAAGATGTACTACCTATCTTGTAGCTTTTTCAAATGCTTCCAGTCTTTCTGAAGCATCCATGGGTAATTAATAAAAAAAAAAAAAATAGACATACTAAAACTATATAAATTATAGTTGTCGCATGGATTGAAAAGCGGGACAGTTAAATCGTTATTACAGCTTTATTATAATTCCTGGAACGCCTGATAAAAATTAGCGAATGCCTTTTTGTACGATTCGATTACAGCTATTATCATAATTTCTGGGACACCTGCTTACCTAACTTTCCGGAAATTACATCACTGCCTCCGGACTGAAGGTCCAAAGACAGCGATGTAGTTTCGGGAGAGTTAGGTAATTTACCGAACGACCAAAAGATTTCGGGTAATGAGCAGGTGTCCCAGAAATTATGATAATAGCTGTAAGTTTGTGATTTCGGCATAATTGATTCAAATTGATATATAATGTAAGATCCGGTGATTAATACGTATATATGTTATTAGACCAGTACAAATATTATTAGTTCAAAAATTGCAAAACACTTAGCTGTAGAATAAGCATTATACATGATACAACAATAGCTTCTATGTACCGATCATGCGAAGTCACAAACTTAATCGAATCGGCTGGAAAATCGTTCAGCCAATTTTTTTATTAGGTGTTACGAGAATTATGATCACTATAACTTCAACACGATTTTTTACTAATTGATTCTATACCAACAGCACCCACTCCCACCTTACCTGTATCGTGTACATCATTGTCACCTCAGCTTTATGCACAAAACGCTTTTCAATTTCCCGTCAATCTTTTGAATGTGCAATCACAAACATACGATCCAAGATTAAACACAAATATCTCACTGAACAGTATTTTACCACGTTACAACCCATCGCAGTATTATAACTCAAACATACTTCAATCAAATGGCTTCCTACACAATGGCTATGATCAAGATACTTGGTTCACCGGCTGATTACTATTTTGATATTTCAAATTAAAATGAAAAGCAGGTAAAATTATTTATAAAAACATTAATTTTCAATGTAACTCAAACGCCCAAAGCCGTTTTCCGGAAAAGGTAGTTAATACTGGCCGAGTTAAACAGTACTAAGCCTTTTCGAGAAAATGGCATTCGGAAAATTGTGCATTAATCCATAATTTTCGAATATCAATCTTTTAATTACGCATATCATATTGAAATCCTGAATTAGGACCTAAATAGGATTTGAAGTCTATTGGTGCATTACGTCAATTTATATTTTTTTTATATTTAACTTCGCATTATGAAAATAAAGATGCTGTCTATTTTTTACTTATCTTCATTCAATCCTTGGATTAATGTTGTGCTTCGTTTGAAAGTAACTATTTCACCAGAATGTAGACAATGTTATTGTATATGAATTAATATTAGGCATGATCTTGATGGCAATGATAGAGTTGTGACCAAGAGTGGATAGATTGAGATCATTGTAAGCTCCCAGTATGCTAACCATGGACAAGAAAATGTTCGTTCTTTTTCAACATACCTATTATGGACTGATTTTAAAGCTAAGCTCTTGCAAGTTTACCGTACCAAAATTATAAACAACATGAACAGAAAATAAGTTATATAATATTCGTTTTACTGGGAGTAAATTTCTCCTTGAATTTCCTATTTCCATAATATTTTTTCATTTAGCTTCTCCCAATAAAGTGATTAACCAGGAATTGCTCACTTTCATACTTCGATTACTTCGATTTTAAATGTATCTAATATATATAATATAAGGGCGTTTGCCTTTAATTAAAATTCGGAGACGTTTAAATTTTTATATCATTTTCTTTTAACACATTCTATTTCATCGACGGATGTCTAAAACTATTTCATCGACGGATGTCTAAAATATATTTTTCGGTCTTTTTTAAACTTTTTCTTCGTTTGCGGAATTATAGTCGCACATGATCGGCCTGAGAATTCTACTCAGCGGAAAATATTCGATTATTGTCGGCATTATTCCACTCCCATTCAATGATGCAATATTGGAAATTTATGCATTTCATTGCGGAAAAATAAAATGCGGTAATATTCCGCAACATTCGTAATACACTAGGACCAAAATGGAAATCAATTTTAGATCGTTTCATTTAATTTTGATTAGCTTACAACTTGTACTATATATAAACTAGAATTGTTACGCATTTATAGAAAATTTACAAATCAGTATCTTCATTTCAGATTAAATATTAAAACAGCATAAACATTAGTAATCAGCAAAATTATCGTAGCCCTTATAGTTATTTTTATTTATTTGCATAACTAAAGTTTTGAGATAACAGCTTCATGAATTCGAATTTTTATAAACCGGCTCGTATTTTAGAGATTTCAAGCTAATAAGAATTGTTTCCATTTCAGGTCGTCCAGAAGGATCTCCATCCCAACATTTAGAATATAAGTCAATATATTGTAAAGGAGTTCCTTCTATGGGCTTTTCTCGCATACCTTTAGCAATTTTAGTACCAAAGGAAACCGAAACCCCCTCCTCTTCAAAAGGTACTCTGCAGCTTGAAAGTTCCCAGAAAAGGACACCAATACTATAAACATCTGATTTTTC